ATGAGAAGCCAAGTGATGACAGTGATACCCAGAAGAGTAAAGTGCCAGCGGAAGAAGTTGAAACGGCTAAGGAGAGTGGCTCTGAGTCTGAGGAGAAGGAGAAACAAGAAGAAATGGATTGGAAGACAGATGAGGAGTTCAAGAAGTTCATGGGAAATCCCTCTATCCACATTTACAGATCCGCTACTGACTTTCAAAACATAAAAAATCCAATCAAACCCAACCTGCTTCAAACCTATGATAAATCACCTAAGTTCACTAATTTCCAACACATTAAACATTCAGCAAGCATATCTAGCATATTCACAATTCACAATTCAGCGAACATGAAACATAAAATTAATTATAGTGTGAGACCTTCATAGAGTCCAGACGTCCTCTAACCTTAACCCTAACCCTTCTTTTGTTCCAGAACAGCTCAATGAAGCACCAAAGGTGAACACTTTGACACACCCCAAGATTAAATTCGAAGCACCAGAGAATTCTCCCAACTTCGCGCGGAAGGAGAACTTGGACTTTCTCTCAGAAGAGCTGAGAAGCTTTTGTGATGGAGCACACGGAGTGTGACTCTTAAAAGAAAAAGACAGAAGTTGGAAAAAGGCGTAAATGAGTGAATTGTATATTCTTGTCTGCTATAGTCTGGGACCTCAGGTCCTTTAATACAGAATGATATCAAATAAGACAAGAATAGGGAGAATGCCACGTTGCTAGCTATCTAACGGATATACCCAGTATTCTGAGGTATTCCTTCTTAGGTGGAGAATTCTAGAGAGTTCTATTGCAAATGGTGAAGTTGGCTGGGCTATGGCCTTATGGGTTTCTCTGGTGGGTTGGGCTGTAGCTAGGGTAGAGACTGGTCTCATCATTTTGGAAGGCGGAAATTTGTAGGGCCTTGCACGAAAGGGTTTCTGAAATTGATCCGCAGGGCAATATAGGGAAGATTCGCCAAGGCGAAATCGTGGAGACTTTGAAGCTCGATTCCACCCTTAAGACAAAGCAAGATTTGGAATAAATTTTGCAAAGTATTTGGCAAAGGCCATGGTCAAGTTTCGAAGAAGCCGACAAAACCTCCATCCATTCCCGCATATGGGACCTTCTCGAGTTTGGTCTGGGTGAGGATTGGAACTGGGACTGGAGTTGAGAGAGTTTTTGGTTTTTAGGTCAACAGTTGAGGAGGAAGGGGCTGGGGAAGACGATGATTGCCTTCCCCTTTTTTTTTTTATTCTTCTTCTTTTTTTTTTTTTTGTTGTTGTTGTTGCAGTTTTGTAGTTTTAACAATTTAATTACTTTAAACTTTAAAAAATTAAATTTAATTCAACAGTGAATCACGTGCCTAACATGTGATATTTAGACAGAAAATTGGATGAAATTACATGAAAACTAACGGTACGGTCTAAATTGACCATTTAAAATAATCTGAGGGCTAAATTGGCTGAATTTTTTTTTCAGGTTGGACATTTCGACAAGCCAAATAGTCCAGGGGGGTTTTCGACCATTTACCCTTTGCTAAAAAAACAAGAACCGCATTAGATTAAATGTATTTGGAATGAGTAGACGGAAATGGATTTGAAACAACTATATCCAAGGAATCATATGACAATAAGGCTAAATTTGCTAAAAAAACAAGAACCGCATTCTGTCCCATCGCTTCTCCTCCCCATCGCGTGTGCCTCGAATGAAAGACCAAACTTGTCCAAGTCAACAACTAATCGAAAAGGCTGTTCGGTACCCATTCTATATGGCGTCTACTACCGAACGGCAATCCTCGAAGCGGCGACTCTTGAGTTCCTAAATATGTGCTCCCGAACCAAGAAGCATCGAAAGACAAATACTAGGCACCACCCCTTGCTAAACTAACGAACGGTAGAGCAATATTTTGGTTGCCGAGGAAGGAATCAAGTCCTCATCCGAGAACTCTCAAATGAGAACTTGGGGGACTTCTATTTCTACCAAAATGAACAGCCAATAAGAACAAGACGCATTGACAAAATCGAGCCTGGTTACGGTAGCCTTTGGCACCTAGCCTATCGATTCCTCGATTAGGGCAACTTCCTTCACCTAGACACGTGGCACGCTCACAATCGACGTCTACAATCCCACATCGAAATTCTAAACAATATGCATGCTACCCAAGGCCTATAAAAGAGGGCAACTATCCCCAAATAGAGGTAATCAGAACTAATGGCACACAATCCTATTGATATGTCAGTTTAATTTACTAAATCCGAACTTACTTAAGCATCGGAGAGCCTTCGGTACCACATCGGTGCCCTAGGTCTTACCGAGCGTTTTCTCATCTTGTAGATCACACGCTCTATCGAGGCCCAAAGCATTCCGAATGCCCAATATCACTAAGTTGAGCCCAAAAGTGTCGGATCACTTTTTCGCATCAACAAAGGCTAAATTTGCTAAAAAAATAAGAACCGCATTAGATTAAATGTATTTGGAATGAGTAGATGGAAATGGATTTGAAACAACTATGTCCAAGGAATCATATGAAATCCATTTGTTTTCTTCCTTTTTCGCTTGTCCAAATCTTGACATACATGTATCACATCCGCATATTTCGAATTCCTCCCTCCAAATGGAGCCTTACTTTATTTCATCGTTATCATTTACATAATGATGTTAATACACTCAAATTACTATAGACTAATTTGATAATCAATTGCATTCCTTGAGTGATACTGATATGAACTGAGTTTACTGTGATTTCTTGTCCAAGCCACCCTTTTTAGTGCTGATGTAATATCTTGTTAGTGCTGATGTAATATCTTATGTGTCTTCTTCATGCCTCACATCTTGACAGGAACGGCCTACCCCATCCAGTGTTTACTTTTGTTTCCAAGCTTTGTTTCTAGTTTCTGGTTTTTTCTGTTTGTTGTTTTGCCCTATTCCCTGTTTCTTTCCATTGAGGCCACAAAGCTTAAGAGGTAAAAAAAATGATACTGATTGTTTGAAGCGTATGTTTCTTTCAATTTTCCCATTGTTTTTACTTGAGCACTTTGGCTTGAAAAAGGTTGGTGTGAGAGGAGAGCAGAATGATGATCAACTTTATTTAAGACATGTGAACCAAACACAAAATGTAGACGCAATTGAAACTCGCAGCACATGGTTACAAAAACCGCCTGCAAGACAAGAGTGAACATAATAATATGTGGTAATCTGCCAATCCATCAAATTGAAACATGAGTATAAATTAATTGGCAACAGAACCAGAAAAACGAGCCCAACAAAGAGATCCATTTTCCTTTGCTGATATAAGAACCAAGAAGCAAAACCCCCCAATGAACAAGCTGGACAGCTCCTTAGCCCCATTCTTCTCTTCCCCTCCAATCTTTCACTCTCAGAAAATGAGTTCCTCAATTTCATTCCTTCTCCTTCTTCATTTTGTACTTCTACTCATGGTGCTACCAATTACCCAATCTTTTGTTTTTCCCTTAGATGAGGGCGGTGATCTCATAAAAAAGACATGCAAGAAAACACCCCATTATGATCTCTGTGTGTCAACTCTACAATCAAACCCTCAAAGCTCAAACACAGATGTTCCAGGACTAGCCCAGATAATATCTGATGTTCTTCTAGCAAAGGCAACTGATACACTGGATTACATCCATGGCCTGCTCAAGCAGTCTCCAGAGGCAGAGTTACAGAAAGCCTTGGCAAACTGTGCTGAATTGTACATCCCAGTGGTGAAGTTTAGTCTGCCACAAGCAATTGATGCACTGACCAATGGCCATTTTGGGTTTGCCAACTATGGCATTTCTGATGCTGCCAAGGAGGGTGATGCATGTGAGAAAGGGTTTTCAGGATCTACCAAATCACCTCTGACTGATAGGAACACACTGGTAGACAACCTCTCTGGTGTGGCTGTGGCCATTATCAATTTGTTAAAGGGCGGCTGAGTTATTCTCTCTCCCTCTTATTGTAATATCATGTACTATTATTGCCGTTCTTCTGTAACTTTTGTTTGTGAAGCTTTCAGCTTTTTGTTTAGATATTTGTACTTGCAGCAACAGTTTCAGCCAATGAAATTAGAATTTCTATTCGCTTTCATGTTCTTTTGTGGAGTATGAAACGGGAAAAACACTGTTTTACTGTTGAGAGATCTGAAAATTCTGAACTTTCTGGTGCAAATACTAGTTCCAAGAATTCATTAAAGCGTTTAGATGACCAGATTATAGGGTAATTTACTGTTTACCTTGATCCAGATTTTGCCTTAACCAAGCATTTAAGATTGCTTAATGTATGCATGTGAAGGCAAATGGTATCTTGTGACTAATTGGGGCCCTTCATATTTAAATTATAATATTTTTTTAAAGGAGGGAAGGCTCTAGAAACACAGGTGTAGACAGAGAGGGTCTTTTCTCAGTTCCCATGCAGCAATTATACAGAGGAGAGCCGCTGACTACAAGAGGAAGCCAATACCATGTGAAATCACATGCCAAGGCCAATGCCTCACGGCATGTCAAAGGAAAAACCTGGTTCACAGGACTTCGATAAAAAGAAAAAGGAAGAGGGAACCAAGGCGCACACAACATTCGGGATTGCCTTAAATGGTCCCACACAACCAGAAAAGAGAAATCAAAGGATCCCTATTGCCAAGTTTGGAAAAGTCTTTTCCCTTTTCTTTCAAAACCAGTTGTGGCCAAAACCAATACACATTACATAACAAGAGTTCTAGACTTTCTAGCAAAACAACAGGAGATCAAATTTATCAACCCCCCACGCTCATTGGGAAAACATACCTACATTCATGGCATTTCCAGCCATAAAGGAAATCTTTGCATCTTGCGAAAGAAACCGTTGCATCATCCAAACTATATTTAGAAAACCCATCATAATAAACCCTGAATTTCATAAAAGGAAAATGGCATTTAGATCACATGCCTGCATAAACATTACTAAGTGCCAATGGGATTCACTTATCACTTCCAATTTCAGCCAAAAGGAAAAAAAAAATGCAGTATTTGAAAAGACGAATTGGTGATTTTCTAGAATTTACAAGGGAAAAGAATTTCGATTCTAAATCTTGGAAAACTAAACTAGTAGGATAATTACCATAATTTTATTTGGACAGGTTGCAAAGAAGGCAACTTATCAGTATGCACTTGACATCACCTGCAGAACACTACTAAAAATTGTATCGTACGTAACCTCCCTCTCTCTGTCTCTCTCTGTCTCTCTGTCTCTCTCTCTGTCTCTCTCTGTCTCTCTCTCTCTCTCTCTGTACATACAGGGGATAAATCAGCTTCAGTAGACCATTCAAACAAAAAAGTGGAAGTATCAATGGCTTGCATGAGGATTCAAAAGATATGGAAATTTGTTCTTCCAGATAGACTAGGCAACAACATTGCAATATCATCCTGCCCATCTTTTCAGCTTCTCCCGCGGATCTGAACCAGCAACCTGCTCTACGATACTGCAAGGTGCAATAAAAGTGAAATATTTTATTTCAGACTCTGAAACTAATATTATTCCTTACGTTAAAGAAAAAAAATTCAAGATATGAAGATTCCCAACAACAAAAAAACAGCAATTTTACCAGGATACACATTTAAAGCTAAAATGAACTAACGTACTTGGGGGACTCGGAACCAGGCCCATTTGGGGCAGTTGATGACAGATTTGGGTAGTACTGAACGGAGATGAAACTGCCCTCCATTCCTCCTCCAGACACAGGAGATCCCTCGAAGCTTACAGGTGAGCTTCTTCTAGAAGAAATTCCTGCACAGAAATGCCAATAGAATGTTACTGTCAAGTTACGAGTATAAGCAAAAAGAATATAAATGTCTAGTAATGAGTAGGGAAAAATGATCATAAACCCTTAACAGGGAAGGAAAAAAGCACCACAAAATTGTTCCAGAAAAAAAAAAGTACCACTTCCATCAAAGTGTTTTCTAAAGCCTGACCTATTTTCAATCAGATATAGCCTAGTCTCCCTATGTTGGTTGCTGACCCTATCTATAGAGGAAAGAGATGACAAAGAAACTAGTATTACACTTTTGAAGACAAAAGGCATATTTAATAAAATAAAAAGAAATAAAAACCAAGTAATAGGGACAAGGAAAGGGCTTTAGGCATCTCTGTAAACAATGTATGTAAAAATTAACCCATTTATTTTTCAGGGATTAGCCAAAAGAAATGATAGAGTAAGCACTGATGAGATCCAAAAGTTTAACTATCAATTACATAAAGCAAAAATGATATGCACATCACAAGTTCACCAAAACAGTTTGGAATCATAACCGGCCATGTATTTCATTGGGTTCCTAACTAGGAAAAAGTGTTCTGTCTTAAACTAAGCTATTTATTATCACCAGAAACAAGTTAAGAACTATCAAATACCACAGATCTGGTAACTGAAACTCAAGTTCAATCAAAGAAATATCACCTTGAAAGATTAGCACAAGACAGAAGAGAATGGTGAACACCATGGCAAATATGCTGCTATTGGAAGATGATGCCTTAGCAGCTTTCATCTTCTTCAAGGCTTTCATCCGATCAATCCTTGCACGTTTCCACATGGCAATCTCAGAGAGTTCCTTGATTAACTTCTGGTCCGCTGCATCCAATGATGGGCCTCTTGGAGGTCTGGGAGGTTTAGGAGGTTTTTTATTGCTTGTCTTCTTACGCTTATCCTTCACCCGTGTCTTCTCTGTGTGATCTGTACCTTCATTTCCTTGCAACATCTTGTTTGTTGCCACTTTCAAATTCTCGGGGGAGAGTCCATTGGAATTGGACCCATTGCCACACAAACTGACCCTCTCTTCAACCTTAACTGATCCATCCAAAAGTCCACCACAAACCTTAGAAATTAATGTCTTTGCCTGCTTCTTAGCACTCGAAACAGGGCTGTCGCTTGAATCTTCTTCACTAACTACCACCCCACTTTCAAGATCAACTTCAGAGTCTTTTTCCCTCGGACTCTTATGATCCATTACAACCAATTAACCCAACGTAATTGTTAACCTGTTCCCCACACTCCAAATTATCAAAGCCACGATATTTTCACCCCTCAAAAGGAAACAGCCAAATTTGAAACTTTGGAGTCAACCCATTATAAGGAATTACCTCTTTGCAACATATATATTAGTTTTACAGGTGAAACTTGATATCTAGCTTCATCAAGCAAACAACACTTTCCAATTTAACTTGCAAACAAATGGAAGACAGCTTAATTGAATGCAATTTAACTTGTTCGACACGGCTCATGCGCTTTCCCAAAGAACAATCAACCTTTAAAGTTTAAACAACAACCTCCCTTCTTTTTTCCCCCTTTCCTGTCAATCAACAAAACCCTTCAACCATTACCAATAATACAAGCCAAAAACAATAAAAAAAAACAAAAACTCGAATGTAATGTGCACAAAAACGTGCTGAGAATCAATAAATTTATAATAAAACTTGAATGTGAATAACAGCTTTCAATTGCTTAAATGTACCAACATAGAGCTTCCAAATCAATGCAAAATCGAAACAAACCTGATCAAACAAAACTAAAGACTGAAACTTTAAAGCAAAACCAATCAAAACTACATCAGGCAACGATTTAAATGGACCGTATGAACATCCAATCAGCCCCTTCACATCATCAGGAAAATAATATTGTAGTTTCCCAAAAAACCCAAAACTCAAACATTGAGAAATGATTTGAATAATGAAATAAAAATGAATAAAATACAAAAGAAAAGGGAAAGTAGAAACCTTCAAAAGAACGCGAAGAAACCCCAGATCCGATGCAGAGAAAGAGCTTCCAGGGAAGCTAGCGTCAAATATGGAGGTTCAAGTGCTAATTAAAGAGAGTCAGAGTGAAGGGGAGAGAGAGAGAGAGAGAGAGAGAGAGAAGGGAATGGACAAGAGGGGTTTTAGGGGAATCACCGAGAAAGTGCTGGGCTTTATATAAATATTTCGATTTTCAGATTTTCATTATTGTGGCGCTATATCTTCGTCGGATAAACACCACCGCAAATTATGGGAATCTGATGTTTTCTTCTCTCCTCAAAACCTTCACCGACACTTGCATGGCATTTTGAGTGTCGGATAAACACCACCGCAAATTATGGGAATCTGATGTTTTCTTCTCTCCTCAAAACCTTCACCGACACTTGCATGGCATTTTGAGTCTTTGACTTTGTTTATTCAAATCTTTTTTTTAAAAAAAATCCCTTTTGGCTACTTTTGATTACAATTGGCTAATTAGGGTTGGCCCTTGTGATTAGTAACCAATACTTCTAATCCAATTTTCAAAGAAAAATTTTCATTAGTCTCTTCAAATTCTTTTATAATGACAATGGGTATATGCCATACAATCTTGTGGGATATTCTTTGTTAGTTTTTTCAATTAAATTCAGGCTTTTGTTTTGAACATGAATTCACATTATTATTTGTTTTAACTAACAATTTTTATTTATTTATGAAGTTTTAACTAACATTTCAATAACATAATCAACCGGAATGTCTAGTAATAGAAATTAATCAATCTTATAATGCTAAGTTTAGCAATAACTCAGTTATTTATCTTTATCCTCAATAAATCCGGGAGCATTTATCTCTGTCCTCAAATTTATGCTGTAATTGCAAAGATCACAATCATTCATTCATAACACATATTGGTATGAGGAAGTTTGTAAGGGATTTGTTTACAATCTAGTTGAAGGATTAGGATTTTCTTCATAAAACAGATATCACAAATCTTAACCAAGAATAGTTTGGTCTTCTTTTCTTATAAGTAACAAAGTAACAAACTATATGGTCACGCGGTATAATTAATTCACACGTAATAATATAAGATGGATATTATAAACACACAAAAAAAAAAAGAAACTAAACGCGTTCTTAAAAAATTCTTTTAATTTTTTTTAGCAAAACAAAATATGAAGATAATTGACAAAACCCAAAAAGATACTGCCAACAGGTAAATCGAACATGAACCATATAAATGTCGTACAGACAAAATTGGTCCAAAAATTTAAAATTCATGAGGACATTTGTAAAGACAAAAGAAAAGATAGTCATAGTCTTAGCCTCTTAGCTGGATTGTGACCTCCAATTACTGCTCCTCCATATAATTGAAATAAATCTGTGTGTGATCAAAATCCATGAACAAAAGATAAAAATGGATGGGTTATGGGGTAGGCCAACCCCCTCTTCACTAATTCCACACTCTACACTCCACGTGAAATAAAAATGCAGAGATCTTAAAGGTGATATTGGAATTTAATTAAAGGGCTTTTGATGCTGCGTAGGTGGGGGACTCATTTGGAGCCCACCGACCTACATGTATAACGTGAAATAAAAATGCAGAGATCTTAAAGGTGATATTGGAATTTAATTAAAGGGCTTTTGATGCTGCGTAGGTGGGGGACTTATTTGGAGCCCACCGACCTACATGTATATATGATCAAATACAGAGCTTGTTTTCTTCTTTTCGGCTAATTGAGTTGATAATTGAGTTTATGTCCCATCTTTTGATATGGGGGGCACATTCAGAGATATTGTGCTCCTGTGGTGCATGCCTTGTTTAGGTGGGTAATTTCCTAAAATAACTAAATAATTGAAGTGTTTGAGATATTGTTTTAGAGTGTTAATGTAAGAAACGTCGATGCATTTGTACGAGAAGTTGATGCTCGTGAGCAAGTAGGATGAAACTTTATTTGATTTAAGTGTTGGTTGAGTGTTTTGTTGTAGCAGTTGATTTGTAGCCTAGCAGCTGATAAGTTGTTTACAACGAAAGCACAGGAACTTCAAAATTGAGCAGGTTCAAATTCAGATTTAAGAAAAAACTTAAAAAGAAAAGTGGTTATCGATTCTTCCCCTTAAGCCAGCAAAGGCATCATAATAGTTTTTTTATTTTTTATTTTAAATTTTTGCTCCTCGGCCGCATATATCGATTTGGGACCACTTAAGATTCTGTTAAAACTGAGCTATCAAATGTGCTGCATATGAGCCTGGGTCCCTGGATAGGACACCCAACTATGTATGCATGTTAGGTTGTCAAGGAAGTTGGTCCATTCTGTTAAAATACATACATAACAATATACAAACCTAAATCTGTTTTACACTTCCTCCTTCTCATACGATACCCATTCTAGACTTACTCTGCCATCAATTAGGGGAGATCTACTAGGGGAGTAGTTGATTAAATTATGATTAATTAATTATGTTTATTTATTTATTAAGTATAAGCGATAGTCTAAATTATAGAGAGGGGGATTTCTCACACACACATAAACTATGATGACATGAGAATTCGAACCTAAGATCTCTGAAATGTAAGTCACTATGGCCTATGAATATAACGTGGGGCTTGAGACAACTAGGAAGGCTACCCTCTTGAACACAATGGTCCTACAGTCCATTGAAAGGCAAGCTCGTAGGAACGCACCAGGTTTAAAACATTGGAGAGAACTCTGAATGGAACGCACCAGGTTTTATTAAATTGAAGTAGAGATTCATATGGTTCATCGACATACATTTAGTTAAGACAGTCAGAGTACTATATAGTTTGAAGCCGAAGTCACAGAGCACTGCACAAGTTAACATATACTAAAGCTTGAAAATAGCAGCGCCACTCGACGGCTTGGAAGCGAAAACATATAGGCCGAGGTCGTTATTGTTTATGACACCTCTGTCGATCCGCGACTGGTAGAACCGTTCCTGATACAGATTGAACAATAAAATGATATTTAGGTTCAACAACTCCAATAAATCAACAATGGAGAAAAAGTCCAATTAAGGATGATGTTAGAGGATATAACCTTTAAGTTAAGGATAAACTCTGGGACAATACTATCCTTTACCAAAGCAACAGCACAGCCTCCCCATCCCGCTCCTGTAAGCCTTGCCCCAAGAGCCCCATTCTCCCGACAAATATTTACGAGTTCTTCCAACTCCGGACAGCTAGGTGAGTGAAAAAAGAAAAGACATTGTAAGTGGGTAAGGACCATCTCAAATTACAGATAGATGTACGAGGGATTAAAAACTATTGCAATTGTGTCAGTATGCATGTAGATTCCAGAAATTTGTACCTGCACTCATATAACACACTGCAGCTATAGTGGCTCCCATTCATAAGATCACCAAGGTTCTTTAGCTTATCCTCATCACTGCAAAAATACTTCGAGTGTTAGAATAAAACCTTTGGGATTGTTCCTACCTCTAACAAGCCTGCAGACATATTAAAGACTGTCTATAATGCATGTGTATATATTAAAACACCAGTGCATGTCCATCACAGAGCATGCAGTGCAGTGACCTGTGATTACTATTGGCTACAGAATGAACATGAGAGTATAAATTCCTCATTCAAACCATACAGATCTAAGCTCACTTGAGTATCTCTAAGCTCAAATTTGGAATTCATCAATTTTCAGCATTTTCTAAATGGAACTGTTTCTTATTTATCTTAAAAAGAATGTACTTTTACTGCATCACGGGGAAAGGGGAAAATATCCCATATGAATTAATATAACACACCACTGGCTCTTGTAGCAAAAGTGGGGTATCTCTCTCTGTCTAATAAAGGGGTAGAATAAAAAACGGGAAGGCTATTCCCTTCTTGTAGCATACACAAATTGCCACTTCCTCAACTAATATGCGCACCTTAAATTTGATGATACAGTGTCCTTGAAAGCATGTACCCGCTTGGCTTCAGAGTAGACATGGGAGGCTCTCTGGTAAACAGGAGTTGTCAAAATTAAAGAAAATTTCCAATTTGAAAGAAAAGAATCAACAGATTTAGTGATAACTTGATATCGGAGACAACAAAAGAAGTACCTGATATAACTTGAAGTGATTAGCAGCATTCAATACATTCAAAGAAGATGGAGAAGTTGCGAAGATAGATGGTAGACTTTCCCCAAGGATTTTCTCTATTTCGGTAGTTGTATAAGGTTCTTCTTTCAAATACTCCTGCAGCAAAGACAAAGCGTTATGTAACTGATAAAGATACTGGAGTGATTAATATGAACCTAAAACGACAAAATACATAAATTACATGTATCAACCACTGGTTGATAAAATGAAAATTTTGGCACACAATGAAGGAAACTACCTTTACAGCAAGGGCAGGATCTGAAGACCCTCGAGTACTAGCGAATGATATGCACAACCCTTCAACATCAGAAAGAGTTTTGGCTTTTGAAATTGCCTCTTGCGGTTTCATTCCCAAATTTATACCCAGCAAAATCTAAAAAAATTCCAAGACCACATTGTGAGTATATAATATTTCTGAAAATAAAAGACACCAACCCTTGTATTAGGATCTCAGAAAATGGAACTAAGATTAATGTTTGGACCAATGCCTAAAAATATATTAAATCACATGTAAGATATATCTTACTACAGAGATTATCAAACTTACAGAAGCTAGACGACATTCAACAACTCTGTTATTGTAATTTATTGCCGCAGTTACTGCTTTCTGAGATTCTGCTAAGGAATGGGCTACAACAAAAGTTCCACCGTCTGGAAGTTGCACATCAGTAGCACGTATAGGGTTGAAATCAATTAGCTCTGCAAATCCAGTCTTGGCCATCACTGAGATTGCCTGATCCATTCCACCAGATTGTGTACCAATGTGTCGCTCACAGTCGCATGTAAGTTGGGCAACTTCTTTCTGCTCACAAGAAAGAATGTTAGAATTTGAAAGAGGTGATTCTAAAATCAGAAGGTCCCTTGAAGATTACCAAGAAACTTATTCATACATCTATAGACTATTGGTACACATGCGGTATACCTTGGGAAAATTCACATCAAAAGCAGCCATTATAGCAATAGTAGAAGCACAAACTAATGCTGCAGAGCTTGATAGTCCAGACCCTATACGAAGCAAACAAACCAGTATGTAACATCTCAGATTTTACTCCACTACATGAGAAAAACTTAACCTTAAAATTGGCAATACATAGATTTTCTATATGTATTAATTAATTTATGGGAACTATACCTGCAGGAACTGTTCCATCAACAAGAACATCAAGTCCAACTGGTGCGCCAATATTTTCTCCTTTGGATTTGGCGTACTCATAAAAACCTTTGTACCTGAAGAACATTAGCCATCAGTACCTCATAATTGATAGTTTTAACTTTTAAATATTCAAAAGTGTTCCTCATCATTAAGGCGAATTAAGATAAATATAAAGTACCAACAACCCTTTATATTTTCTATCAGGCAAACTGCTTGATTAATTAACAAGCATTAACCGAGATGAAAGCAACATTAAAGCATGGGTTTTTCTATGTCTCACCCACAAATGAAGTAATGGCCCCATTTGTGATTCTTCAAGTCAATTTCCTGCACCCAAAAAACAAAAAAAGTTTAAAAAGTTCGAACTTTGACCGAAATTGAAAATCGACTGGGGAACCTCTGTAATTAAGCAAATGCGCAATTCAAACAATTATGGGTCGAAAAGATACAAAATTTCAGAAAAAAGCAATGCAAAAAAAAAGGCAAATATTAAGGACCTGGTTAGGGTCAGCGGGATAAGTACATATTTGGTACTTATCGTTGACATTGGCAATTCTGAGAACCTTCTCGGCCTCTCCCTCGTCGTGCCTCCGAATTGCGACAATGGTGTCCTGTCGTATCGCCATCGGCAACACCGAATAGCCCTCATAGTCTATGTGCTCTCCGATCAAGTTCACTCTCCCTGCCACCGTCCGATCACACAAAATCAAAAACACATACACAGAATTGAAAACCAGAGACAGAGACAGAGACAGAGAGATACAGACCTGGAGAGCGAGCGAACAGTTGAGGGGCGTGACCGAAGACCTGTTGAAACTTGGACTTCAAAGTGTGGAAACGAAGCTGCGCCTCTTCGAGTTGGGAAGAGTCGCCATAGACAGGATCCAGGCTGTCGTGAATTGGGATCGGGAGCTCTTCGTGCTTGAAGATTTGAGCCATTCGATTGATTGATTTGCTTCCTCTGCAACACTAACTCTTCTTGTGGTGGAATAATAATACAAAGGAAATATAATAATGTACGGCACTGTTTTGGATGATGACGAGGGTGATTGAATTGCACTTTGTATATATGGCAAGCGAGAGAAAATTGTAGTAGTTTAATTGGAGGTTGTTTGTTGTTGGGCTTTTCTTCTAGAGAGAGACACAGAGAGAGAGAGAGAGAGGAGTTTGGGCCAAAAAACTGAAACGGTCGATGGGAGGAGTGTCGCGCAGGACAGAAACCGCTAATTGATGATAAAGTAAAAGATCATAGGATTAAGATTCCGATAAGTTAAAAAAGGAGGACAAAAGAGAGTCCCAGTTTTCCTTTTCATCCACTTTTTTTAATCTTTAACTGATTACAGCTAAATCTAAATCTAGTTACGTGGGAAAATTCATAATTCGAATTCAAAAATAGAAGTTTTGTTCTTAATTGGTTAGCGATGACTTCACTATCCGACGTGGTTATGGATAGCTTCGGTGAAATGAATGATGACATTGACACGGATTACTATGGTAATTGCCACGTCAGGTTGGTAAAAATGTTACGGTTTGTATCATATGTGAATTTTATTTTCAATTACAATAGGCGGGTGAACTGATATTGGAAAGAAAAAAAAAAGTTTATATGGTAATTGGTGTGCTCTTTTAGAATATTTGGCTCATGATAAATCGGGGAGTGCTTTTTACCCCCTTATCTAATCTTGCCATCTATTAAAAACACTAACTACGGATTAAGTTTTAGCATTTGATTCCAAAATACTAATCCTGAATAATTTCACTACGATATAAATATGAAATTTGATTATAGGTTAAATGTTGTCTTATCTTGTATGGGGAGAGTTGGTGATATTGACACGGGTGTCATAATGTTATTGTTCGATGATAGTAAAATAGTGTTATCCTCGTTTCATGGAAGTCTTTCTCTGTTGCAAAGAACATAAGGGAACTTTTTAGCAGGGAGAGCCAGAAACTTTGATGATATATTCTTTGCACATTTATATACCAGACGACCGCACTTTATCAGACAATTTATATGTAGAAAAACTCATATAATCCTCGTGGCATATGCCCTTTATCAATAAAATTATATAGCTTATGATAAATAAAAAAGTTGCCTTGCCTCTAACGGAACAAATTGCTTTTATAACCCATTTCTTACATTAGCTACATTGATCAAATGATCCAGTGGCCTCCACGCTATGGAGAACAAATTCCAAAACTATTCTTGAACTGAAGATCATATTTTAAATGTTGTCTTGTCTCTATCGGAACAAATTGCTTTAGTAACCCATTCCTTACCTTGGCTGCATAAATCCAAAACATTGGCCACCAAGCTATGGAGAATAAATTCCAAACATTTTTTGTCCTTCTTTCAATAGGAGTTTTCATTTTCTACATTCAATATAATGGAAAGATTCAAACACAAAACTTCAAGCATGAATAAATAATTATAGTTAATTGAGCTTCAAGTTCTTTGATAATTACGAGCTGACACAGCTAAAGTACACATGTGTGTATGAATTGTCAAATTTTTTGAACTTTTTAAATTTATTTTTACAATTAATAATGTGGGTTAGGAGTTTCGAATTTGGAACTTTTTTTTTTTGTCTTAAATCATTAGGTGGTCCTGGATGGGCCCCAACTATGGGTGGCACCTTTAAGTCTTAACCACAACCCAGACTAATCCCCACTCACACCGGGTCGGCCCATAAAGGGTAAAGTGTAATTTGGAACCTTTTTCAACATTATGAAAATATCACTAAATCAAAAGCTAGCTAGACAAACTTATACTTTTCAACAATTGATCACATGTGTAATAGTTTAATTTCTTTTCTTTTGGTCTTGAAAAAAGGGTTGTTACGAGATAGCCCCTTGGAACTCTTATATCCTAGAAATAAACTCATCTATTTTAAAACTATTATCAAAAAAACCCAAATTTGAATATAGGTTAATAGTTGTCCTAAAATTACAAAATATTTACACACTTGCCATCTATCTTACTTGTCAAATTCCTCGTGTTTAGCCTTTATATTTAATTGAAATGTTTTGATAAAAATAAATCAATGAATACATAAATAATCATGTAATACCAACCGTACACTAATATACTACCTAAATATAACAATATTAAACAAATTCTAATACATACCTACAAAAATTATTCTTTTTTGTAAAAGAATATTGATTAGGTAATTGTATATTAGAATATATATATATATACTATTCATATTAAATCAGTCATGTATACTATTCATATTAAACGAGGAATCCTCATTCCTGTATAATTAATACTGATATATGCTTTCACTTTTTGGTTTTTTATCTTCGCATCAAATTACAAATCCCTTCAATCTTCAGACTCCTCACTTTGATTGAACACCTACACCTACTTGTTCACATCCTATGCATCTATATATACGTGTGTGTGTGTGTAGGGATTAAGGGTTGCATATTGAAGAATTAATCAAAGAGACAAAGCAATTAGAGCCATTCTAGAATCAACTTGTACCATACGATAATGGATCATGAATCTTCTGGTAGCAGGATTTTAAGCCTACTTCAGAGATTAGAAATTGGCGTTCTGGTATTAATCCCAGGATGTCTTATACCGGCGGCTTCTTATGATATTTCGTCGTTGAAGGTGGATACATCATGGGTGGTGATTTGCGCATGTCTAACTTTTTGCCTTGACCTGTTGCAAAAGACTGTTCAGTTGATACATCTTGGAGTCTGTAAGTATAATTTTTTGGATCAAATTTTGAACTTGTGTTTGTATAAATGATTATTATTATCTTTTTTTCTAACCATTAATTCATCTTGCAGTGTCTATGTGGCTCCTTTGTCGTTTGACTAGACTGAGACTCAAGCATGACTCGGAGCAAAGTTTTGGGGCTAAATTGCGCTCATGCTTCATTGAATTTGAGGCGGAGCTTGAAAAAGGGAATGACAGAAACCCAATCATAGTAGCAGCTCAATCTACCATGTACTCTCCTACTCCTACAGCCCAGGGTGAATCATATTGATTCGGAGTTGTTAATGTTTTTGTTTTTGTTTTTCCCTAGTTATAAACACTTGAAAACAATTACTACATGATGATTTACCAAAGATTTTTTTGAGTTAAACCTAATTTTTCTTTTCTTTAATTAATTGCCTTTTATAAGTTCTACTTTAATTACTATTCTTTTCACTTAAAAATGGGCAATTGCTTATATTTCATTTATTATGTTTTATGAATTTTGAGTATGTTAATTAATGTTTTTCTTTCTGATCTCTACTTCCGAACCGTTTATATGTATATTAATTAGGTAATAACTACATATGGAAATTTGAAGTTTTATGACATGTAGAAATTTAGGATGAGCTTTAGTTTGACAAGAGACATCATCACATAAATCATCTTCATCCCATGGATCCAAAACACAGCGGAAGTGAAGTACCCAATTTCTCAGCTTCCAAATTTCATCAATAAAATGTGCCGAAGGGAACAAAAACTTACGGAAATTATAGTACTTCGATATCGCTAATCTTAAATTACAGCGTGTTAAACTTATGTGACAACTCTCAAAAATCACACTCGGGTGGAACATGAGCAGAGCAAACAAAATTTGCAAAAGCCCTCAGTGCTTTTTGCTCATCAAATTCAAACCCCTCAAACCTTGCATCAGAATCAAATGACATGCCATTCACATCGTCGTTGTCGCTACCCCAGCCGCCATTTTCATGATCACACATTCCTTTCATTTTAGAACCAACAGCTTCATCAGCTTCACGAATCCCTGACATATCTAATGAACACAAACTTTTTAGCACCATAGCACAAAATAGAATCAATAAAATCATGGATACCCATTAACAATATAAGCAAAAATCCCGCAATAAACTCTTTTTTTTTTAAAAAATACACCCTCAAAATTATTATAACCAACAAATGAATAAAAACAAAGCATTGTAAAGACAAAAAGAAAACCCAGAAAGCGAAATACAGTACAAGAAAGCAAAAAGCGCGTGATCATTGTTTAGAATGTATAAGAAAGACACAAACTTGAGATTCAGACAAATCTCGTTTGGGATGGTCGCCCAGAGGAAAGAGCTCAGAGAGAGTGAGAGCACAAAGAGGTCGTTTGGCACGGCGGACTGTCATGGACTAGATTAAATTCTGGGACTATCTCGAATTAACTCGGATTGGCCTAAGCTGGATTAAGTACTGACCTACGTTTGGTGCTGCTTTAGACTAAGAAGCTGGATTGTAAAAATAGTGAAGACCTATGTTTGGTGCTGTGTCAGACTAAAAAATAATAATTTTTAAATAATTAAATGTAAGTTTTTTTTTGTTATTATAATTACCAAATTGACATGTATATTTCTTTTCCTCCAAATCAAAAGCTTTTTGTTTATTGTTAAAGTTATAAATTCCACCGAGTTTATGTATAATTGAGTTTTTATTTGTATGCAAACACAAATAATTTGATTAATTGAGTCTTTACTAGGTGATATTATGTTATTATACCAAAATATGTTGGCTGAGGATAAAATAGATAACTTAGGAAATGGTGACAAAAATATAGGCAAACATTCTTTATATCTTGCATTTAACCTCGTAAACTAGAATTAGGATTTAAACAAGAGTTGCATCCGAAACTCTATGATTAAGACATTTCTGAAACTACATATTAGAGCATAGCATTACCAAATCACCAAATCAATCCTCAGCAAAACTTGGTGATAAAAAACAAACAGGGACCTTCCCTTTCTCAGTAAAAGGGCAAAAGTTTCCACATTCTTTTAGAGATAAATATAAAATGGGAAATCATGTCTCTCTGAACATGGAAAAATAAAACTAAAAACACCAAATGAACATAGTAGAAAGATGACGCATCTTCCCCACTAATGATCAACAAGAAACCAATAAACTAAAAACACCAAATGAACATAGTAGAAGGATGATGCATCTTCCCCACTAATAGATATGTAAGTCTACGACTGTCCAAGAAATCAATAATGATCAACAATTGAATTTTTCTCATACAAGCAATCTCACAACTAAACTAGTACCACAATTTCAAGCGAATTTTGTCATTGGTTCATTGCTGGGTATAGGTAGCATAATCACGTTTTCCAAATTTCACCTTTGCCTACAAGTATACTTACATATTACACCGGACAGTTGAAATTGCTAAAACAAGAATAGTAAGCTACAGGTTTTCTGTTTCCTTGGCCACCTTCAAATGAAGCTCTAAATTCCCAGAACATGAACCTCATTCTTCTCACAAGGCATCACGAGAGGCAATTCGGCAAGTAATGGCATCGGCAAGAGAAGATATCCCTAGTTCCACGCTAGTTATCTTATAGTGCTGAAAATTACGAGCGCTGATGATCACTAACTAGAAACAAAATCACAACAAAACTAATTGCCGTTAGAAAAGTGATCAAGAGTGTACCTTTTGTATTTGGGCTTGTTCTGCTCTACCTCCCAACTCCTCCAAGTCAATCTCTTTTCCATTGATTAGTTTCTCTACTGCTTTTTGTTCAATCTAGTATTCAACAAAAATTATTAAAGTCAGAATGGCTAACATTTTCTGATATCCTGAAGCAATGCAAGGTTTGATCTACTACACCTTTCAGAGTGATCTTACCTCATCAGAAGAAGCATTAAAACGAGCGGCAAGAACATAAGTCGAGCTTTCAGATATGCCACATCTTTTCAACGATTCTGCGATCTAGTCACGTTCAAAGCTAAGGGTTACAAATTTGCAGCACGAGAAAAATAAGCAACAGACCACAGAACATATTAGTTAATAGGTAGAAAATTACATGCTTGGATCCTGAGTAATTGTAAACAAGCTCAGAATGAAGAGTATGCGTTGTCAGCGACTCTAGGGACTTGGCTACAAGTGTCTTATGTGCAGCTGCAAGCAAAGGAAAAACATCTGGTATCTGCTTCCAATTTGGGTGAAGGTAACATTAGAGAAACTCAACAAGAAGGATCTCAGCAAAGAGAATACAACATTGAAGGAAAAAATTAAAAAAGGGATGGTTAAAGTATGGAATAAAACCAGTGAAGCATTCAGGAGCGCGACATCGGGATCTAGTGTCCCAGATTGCATTTATTTTTTAAACATACTTAGGATAGATGAAGTCAGATGAATTTTTGTTCCTAACATAATTGCTGAGCAGCAAACTCCATCATGTCCATTGTCTCTCCACAGAACAGTTCAAAACTACAATGAAATCAAAGTTCAAAACACCGAGGATATTGTAATTCCACTTTTACTATATTATGAACCAGTAAAGTTACCAGAATTTCAACCAAAGTGCAATATACAAATGCAGCAATAGGGTAAAATTTAGCATCATATATTCACGCATCTCAAGACAGCAAGACAGGACAGCTAGTTTTTACTATCCAAGGGAAACAAATTTACAATACAACAACAGAAAAAAAAGAATGTTCCATCTCTGTAATGGAGTTCAGAAGTAACTGCTTTAATGTCTATGTCAATTGCTTACCTAAACTGAGATTCCCAAGCCTTCCAAAAGTGAGGTAGCCATAAGCTAGGGAAGAGCAGCAAAAAGCAAAAACTGTACCTGTTCTCGACATCAAGCACACGCACGAAAAAAGGGGAAAAAAAATCTCATGAGAATTAAATCATCTTGCAGGATACATATTGAAGATAATTAAGAACAAAGAAGAAATAGTATTGATAATTACCTGTTAAAATTGTATCAGTGCCTGCCTAGTGCCTACTATACCCAGCTTCGAGTACACATCAAGGCATTCATCAAGTCTGGCTTCAAGCAAACTATATGTTCATCAGCTGGCTTTGGTACAGTATAGTATACACCATTTCCAGTTGACAGAGACATTGGCATGGCCAAAAAATCCCGTGCCATCCGGGAAAGGGTAGGGTACTCGGTGCCTGCGGTTCTCCACCAAGACAATGCAATAAAATCTGGACTCCAAGGTAACACAGGTTCTTCCAAATAGTGATCCAAGTCTGATTTTTTCGCAGGGTGGTCATTTGAACGGATGAACTGCTGGTAGTCCTTCACCACTCTAAAACCGCGTTTCCAACGTCAGGGACGCCATCTGTAGGAAAACGGATCACATAGTCATCAAACAGTTCCTGCATCGCCCATAAAGAACGAAAGAGAAGTAACAAAATAGGCAAAAATGATCACATTGGACCCGAGAATGAGAGAATAAGGCAGACCCAGAATGAAGAAACATAAAAAGCATAACACATAATGACAGCACATCAGAAGAAGCAAAATGCTTTTAATGTTGCCCTACAATCATGGATACCCATGAACAATATAACCAAGAATCGTACAGTGAATTCTTAAAAACACAAACTTTATTCACCCACTGAGAAGGAAACTCAAAGATTATAAGCAAGAATCTTACAGTGAATTCTTTAAAACACAGACTCTATTAATCCACTGAGAAGAAAACTCAAGGATTATAACCAGAAATCTTACAGGAATTCTTAAAAACACAAACTTTATTCACCCACTGTACAGAGAACTCAAAGATAATATACAAAATGAAAGAGAAATAATAAAAAAAAAGGCAAAAAGGATCCGAGGTTGAGAGAATAAGGCAGACCCAGAACAAAGAAACATAGAAAGCATAACAAATAATGACAGTAGAAGAAGCAAAATGCTTGTAATCGCCATTTCAAGAGTTGATTTTGATAAGAGAACCATAAAGATATGATCTTGAGTTGAAGGCCTAACCTCGTTAGCGTCGAGTAGCCCAGAGGAAGAAGGAACTGAGGACAAGGGAGTTTTGGCGTTCTGTGGGAAATGCAATAGACTGGGAGAGAAACAGAGAGTATGAGTTATGAGTTGCTTAGCGCGAAAGCATGAATAAAATGCATCAGAACCGTTAGTTATAACACATGAGTGCATCATCTCTCACGCACACACACAGAGCCTATATTAGTCAAATATGAATAGACATCAAGATAACAAGTTGTCACTATCCAAGGGAAAATTATCCATAAACAGTTCTAATTACCAAAAATATTAAATATACAATTTCCTTAATGTTTTTCAAGAGTAACAAACTTTGGTGCCAATCCCAATTGCTTAAGAAATGGGCCTACGCCCATTAAGAAATCTTTGGGCCAGAAATTTAGATTTCTCTCGCACTGGTATTTAAAACCAGAAAATCTACGGACTTGGCGTCCATGGCGTCAATGACAAGTACTGGTACCAGCCTCAGTTCTTCCCTCCCAGTCCGATAATCCAACTTCCACCCCACCAATTCCCACCTCAGGGAACCCAATTCACAGACACCTCACCAATCTATCGTCAGAACCCAATTCACAGACACTTAATGACAGCACATCACAGAGAATAAGGCAGACCCAGAACGAAGAAACATAAAAAGCATAACACATAATGACAGCACATCAGAAGAAGCAAAATGCTTGTAATGTTGCCCTACAATCATGGATACCCATGAACAATATAACCAAGAATCGTACAGTGAATTCTTAAAAACACAAACTTTATTCACCCACTGAGAAGAAAACTCAAAGATTATAAGCAAGAATCTTACAGTGAATTCTTAAAAACACAGACTCTATTAATCCACTGAGAAGAAAACTCAAGGATTATAACCAAAAATCTTACAGGAATTCTTAAAAACACAAACTTTATTCACCCACTGTACAGAGAACTCAAAGATAATATACAGAATGAAAGAGAAATAATTTTAAAAAACGCAAAAATGATCCGAGGGTGAGAGAATAAGGCAGACCCATGAACAATATAACCAAGAATCGTACAGTGAATTCTTAAAAACACAAACTTTATTCACCCACTGACAGAGAACTCAAAGATAATATACAGAATGAAAGAGAAATAATTTTAAAAAACGCAAAAATGATCCGAGGGTGAGAGAATAAGGCAGACCCATGAACAATATAACCAAGAATCGTACAGTGAATTCTTAAAAACACAGACTCTATTAACCCACTGGGAAGAAAACTCAAGGATTATAACCAAAAATCTTACAGGAATTCTTAAAAACACAAACTTTATTCACCCACTGTACAGAGAACTCAAAGATAATATACAGAATGAAAGAGAAATAATAAAAAAAAGGCAAAAAGGATCCGAGGGTGAGAGAATAAGGCAGACCCAGAACAAAGAAACATAGAAAGCATAACAAATAATGACAGTAGAAGAAGCAAAATGCTTGTAATCGCCATTTCAAGAGTTGATTTTGATAAGAGAACCATAAAGATATGATCTTGAGTTGAAGGCCTAACCTCGTTAGCGTCGAGTAGCCCAGAGGAAGAAGGAACTGAGGACAAGGGAGTTTTGGCGTTCTGTGGGAAATGCAATAGACTGGGAGAGAAACAGAGAGTATGAGTTATGAATTGCTTAGCGCGAAAGCATGAATAAAATGCATCAGAACCGTTAGTAATAACACACGAGTGCATCATCTCTCACGCACACACACAGAGCCAATATTAGTCAAATATGAATAGACATCAAGATAACAAGTTGTCACACTATGCAAGGGAAAATTATCCATAAACAGTTCTAATTACCAAAAAAAATAAATATACAATTTCCTTAATGTTTTTCAAGAGCAACAAACTCTGGTGCCAATCCCAATTGCTTAAGAAATGGGTTGGGCCAGAAATTTAGATTTCTCTTCAGGATCTAGTGAGAACAACTACATAAGAATTTTATATGAGAACACCGTTGGATCTAATCCAATGATTCCGCAAAAAGCAATTGTAAGTGAAACAGTTGTACTAGAATCAAACCCTCAATTTGTTCTCTTTCCTCTCTCCTCCAAAACTTTTTCGCGAAATTTTACATTTCCATGTGGGGCGCCATTTTTTCTTGCATCAAAGTCGAAGATAATGTTACAAGGAATTTTTAGAAACTTTCGGTGTATTTTTCTGATTTTTGTAATGAATTTTCTTCAATTTTTTAAGATAAACTCAAAAAAATGAAAAAATAATAACACATGGCGCTTCGAGATACTGACACCCATTGAAAAAGTTGACGATGCACCCATCGGGCACTACCATGTGTCATTCTCTATTATTTATTACTATTTTTCAATATTTTGAATTCCAAAAATCATAATAAATATGAAAAATTCACTAAAAAAGACCCCGGACTCCTTGTGACATTTCCAACATCTTTTGAGACAAAATATAATTTTGACTAAGGGAAAAATTCAAATAATTTCACAAAGTCAAGTTTACTTCCATACTAACAATGACACTAAGTTTAAGATCACTAGTCTTTATAACTGTAACTTTTCCTTCAACTATTACTTCGAATTTAACAAATTCAAGTTTTTATTTTCACGCATTAGAGTGGAAGATCATGTCGAAAGGCATTCGTAGAAATTTTTGGTGTATTTTTCTAATTTTTTAATGATTTTTCATGAATTTTTTAAGATAGACTCACAAAAATGAAACATTAATGACACGTGGCGCTACGAGATATTGACACCAGTTGGACAAGCTGAGGACCCAGCCATCAGACACTGCCATGTGTCATTCTCTTCCATTTATTACTATTTTACAATGTTTTGACTTTCAAAAATCATAATTAATTCGTAAAAAATTTGAAAAATTCACCGAAAAATGCCACAAACTCCTTGCGACATTTTCTTCATCTTTTCAGTTGTAAAATATAAATTTGAAACATAAATAATTTAAATAATTTCTCAAACTTAAGTTTTTTCATATACTACCTATAACACTAAGTTGAAGATCCTTACTCTTCCTCACTACAACACTTCCTCTAACTGTAACTTCAATTTTCTGAAAGTCAAATTTTGATTTTCACGTATTAGAGTCGAAGATAATGTTGCAAGGAATTCATAGAAATTTTCGATGTATTTTTCTGATTTTTTAATGATTTTTCTTGAATTTTTTAAGATAAACTCACAAAAATGAAACATGGAGCTATGAGAT